CCCCCCCCCCCCCCCCAAAAAAAAAAAACCCAAGTTTTATTTGCTGAGTTAATTCTAGTCAAGATGTCTAGTGGGTTATTTTGTTTGGATCACGTAAAATGAAAAAATTTCATTGAAACCCATCCAAGGATGCAAAAGTAACATCAGCTGAGCAAAAAAGGAGTCGTAGCTCCTGTATAATGAACCCGTGGTTACTAGTAGTAATTCAAGGAGCTAACAAAATCCATAAATTTATCTCAACCTTTACCTGATCCAAAAAAAAAAAAATCCATAAATTTATCCAGATTATTTACACTTTTAAGTCGCAGCAAAAAAGACTGATCAGGCATCTAACTTTAAGTTTGTCTAGAAGAGACAATATGACAATATCTAAGGTTTCTTTCTTTCCAAATACTCCAAAAGAGGCGTGCTGGTACCCTTTTTCTATCTCTGTTTTGTAGCCTTTCCAACTACCCAGAGGGCATATGCTTCTTTTAGTGGTATAGGGCATTACCCAGCTCACACCAAAATGGTTAAAAAACATACTCCAAATGTCTCTGGCAGCTTGAAAGTGGAGGGATAAAAGGCTGATGTTTTCTGATTCTTGTAGACATATGTCTCACTTGCTGCAGAGCATTATTCCCCTTTTTGCAAGGTTATCACGAGTTGAGCAAGATTCCCGGATTGCTAACCAGCTGAAAGAGGCTATCTTTGTCGAAATTTTGACTTTCCACACAAGTTTCCAGGGCCACACTTTCAGCAATGTTGCTGTTGGATCAGATCTTCTTGTAACAAGATTTAACAGTATATGCACCACCCTGGCTGAAACTCCAAACTAATCTGTCCTTTTCCAGAAGTGTCTATTGAGAACCCTTGCATTCTTTCCAGAAGAACTCCCAGCTGATCCACCTACCAGTCTTGAAAATTCCTTCTGAACTGCAAATCCCAACAGTTCTCTTCCCTGCATTGGCTAACTGTGACTTGGGGCAGCACATTTAACTGGTATATTCTTGGGAACTCCTCCAGTAAAGTACTGTTCCCCAGCCATATATTGTGCCAAAATTTTAGGAGTTCCCCATTACCAACTCTAAAATAGGTATGCTTGGAAATATCTTAATCTTCCTAAGGATTCTATATTTTCAAATCTCTGAATATTTTCTTTCAAACGATTATTTATCCATGTCTTAACATTCTTCCAGAATTTGGTCAATTTCACTATCATAGAGCATAAGGTGACAAGCATTATTGAACAGGGTATAGTTTTTTTAAAATCATAATATCTACTTCTGAGGACATTAAAGAAACCTTCCTTGAAGATGAAATGATGAGAAGACATAAAGATGCCCCTTTAAAAACCCAATTACGCTTTTAGAGTCGTGGAAGAAAGGTATAGGCATAGCACATAGTATTTCACCAAGCATCATTCAAGAGCCCCTCCGTTGATCAGGCACTTCCGACAGATACTTCGAATTAATTCAAACTTTAAGAGTCTAGATAATGATGATTCATTAGAATACGTGGATATGGTGGTTTATGCAAAAGAAAAGCAAAAATGTGATTTCAAACAATGTGTGATTCAGGATCATATCAATCATGCTAACCAAAGTCATAACTGCATATAAACAAACATCATCCATATTCAGAATGCTAGTCATATGAATCTCGGAACTAGGTCCAATAACGGATCATCATCATACATACCAGGTGTGACTTTTGCAGATGACTGGCTCCTGTTCTCAGCTTCTTGATGTTCCTTTGAGGTTCTTGTGGGAGTCGATAAATTCCTCCGAGTAACATCTTTACTAGGCTGTGAACCAGAAGCCACATCACCTCCCCCTTCACGCTTTTGCCTGGCCTGCTCAGCCATCAATTGCCACTTTGACAACATGTCATCACCTCCAACAGCAGCTCGAGCAGCAACATTTGCAGCTGTAGTTCGCATCTTATCATCCTCTTCCTTGTTTGCCTGCAAATATACAATAAGTTGAGAAGGATCAAAGTCATGAAAGAAATTACTTTTTGATACTTTTATACAGATCTTAAAACTATCCAGAAAAACAGAAGTACCAAGAGAGAGTGCGCACCTTTATTGATTTCCCACGACCATCATCCTTCTCCTTATCACCGTCAACTCCATTACTACCTTCAGGCTGATATCCAAGTCATTAAGTTACACACTTCGCAAATTAACATTGAACAGTAGATAATTAGTTGAAGTACGCCCAAAGTGGAAAGAAGGATAACTCACTTCATTTGCCTTTTGGAGTTTCTCCACATCAGCCTGTTTCTTTTCCCATTCTTCCCGGGCTTTTCGATTGATTGACAGGATTTCTTCACGAACATCTGAAGTGACAATTGTTCTGTGTCTTGACTTCTCAATGTCAACTCTCTACAAAAAGCAGGTCTCCACCTCAGGTTCATATTAGAATCCTATAAGCTTTTCAGATAGCATATTTTTTAAAAAAAAAATTAACCAAGCAGAAGGTTAACCTGTTTTGACAGTCTGATGAGACTACTTATAAGTCCACGCATTCTTTCCTCCACACACTGGAAGTTGAAAGTTTAGTGGCACAAGCATTTCCCAAAATAAGTAAGACAACAAAAAAAGATCATATCTCACCAATGACAAGCATCGTTCCACATCATTGCTCATATTCTTTAGACCACATTTTGCCACTGTCAGACACAAAATCAGGTAAGCAATAAAACATAGTGATTCAAGTAAGGAAGATGACTTACTTTATCATGTAACTTTATAATACCAAGTTGCATATCAAAGAGAGTAAAGAACTAAAAGAGGGATTTAACTGATATCTGCCAATTTCTTCTGAAGTGGAATTTTCTGCAAGATCAGCCTTTCCTCTTCTTCTTGTACAACTCGTCGAGACGCTTCAGAAACTCGACTATCCTCCTTGGGCCCAGAAAATAGCTGTTCTTCCTCTTCCTGTTTTATGCATTACAAAATAATATCAAGCTAGTACGAAATACTTCTGAATAACTGCTTTAAACAACTTGTGATGAGCACAAAATATATTCCACTGTGGGGAATCGAGGGAGGTATTACCCTTAGATTAACTCCACTAACAGCAGTAACATCATTAAGTTGTTCAATGCTCTGATCCAAAAAAGCTCCTGAAACCTTTTGCTTCTTCCTGCAGTGTACAAATAAAAGAATATAAGGTTTCATTTTGTGTATGGGGTTTGGCATTCTGTGAAAACACCTAGGGTCTTCTTACCTGATGATGGGTACTATATCTTTAAGTTTGAATCTCAAGAGGACAAAGCCTGTATAATGCAAAATGGACCTTACACTTTTAGGAACAGGCCAATGATTCTGAAACAGTGGAGTCCAGAATTCCAGTTATAGAAGGAACCAATGTGTGTATTACCAATATGGGTATGCTTTCCTTGGTTGCCACTCCTATATTGGTCTGAGGAAAATCTAGGGAGAATTGCTAGCTTCCTGGGCAAACCTATGTGCACTGATATCTTAACAGCTAAAGGTGAAAGAATATCATATACCAGATTATTAATTGAGATGGATATCACACAAACATTGCCTGAATCTGTAAATGTTGAAGCCTCAGATGGTAGTATTTGGAGCCAAAAGATTGAATATGAATGGAAGCCTATTCTATGTCAAGAGTGTATGCAATTTGGGCATAACAAGGAGCATTGTCCAAAACAGAAGCAGGGAATGCAAGGCTTTATCAGGAATGTACCCAAACAGGATAAACACACCAGGCAAGAATGGCAGCCTAAGCCAAAAGCTAATGCAGAAGGGTCAACAGCTCCATCTGTAGACCAAGACGTGGCAGTCCACACTCCTCCAACAACTGTACACCAGGAGGAAACTCACACTGCCCCTTCCCAAGTTCAATTCAGAGGGAAGCAAGTGGTAGTGTTTCAAGGCAGAAAGGAGATCCCACAAACAGATGAAGAGTCAGATAATGAGGTTGATTTCAATCAATTCAGTAAACTATGCTTAAAGATTAGAGAACCTGCAAGTAGAAGAATTCAGGGACACAGAAAAGGTAACAGTGGAAAGTTGCAGAGGGATGGACCTATTGCCAAACCTCCCCCATGATTTTTTGCTCATGGAATATTAGGGGGCTAAACAAGCCCTTTAACCAAAATGAATTTAAAAACTTTTTGCTCAAGAATAAAGTTGACTTAATAGGGTGTCTACAAACAAAAGTTAGACAGCAGAATGTCAATAAAATTACTCGAAAGTTTGATACGGATTGGAGATTTCACTTTGATTATACTCAAGTTCCAAATGGTAGAATATGGTTAGGCTGGAAGCAAAGCTATGTGGCTCTTACTATACTGGAAAGCACTCCACAGGTACACTGCCATGTTGAGGATAAGAACTCTCAATTCCAAAGCAAGATATCTTTTGTATATGGTTACAATACTGCAGGGGGCAGAAGGGAATTATGGGAGACACTAAGGCACATTAGTACTTATACTATTGAGCCTTGAATTATTCTTGGTGATTTCAGTGCTATACTTTCCACTGAAGATAGAGTTAATGGGCTGCCAGTGCATGTGAATGAAACAGTAGACTTTCAAACTTGTGTCACTGATATTGGTCTGGGTCAGGTTAATAGAAAGGGTTGGCAATATTCATGGTGTAACAAGAGGGATGGAGATGATAGGATTTATAGCCATATTGACTGGGTGTTTGGTAATGACAAGTGGTTCCAGGACTATGGAAACCTAGAGGCAGTTTATTATAATCCAGAATGTTCAGATCATACTCCTATTGTTATCAGAACAGTGATTCCTAGACAAAGGTTGAAAAGACCTTTCAGACTCCTTAATGTACTACTCAAGCAAGGCTCATTTAAGGAAGCTGTCAAACATTGTTGGGATCAAAGCTTCACTGGATGTCATATGTATAGACTGTGGATGAAACTTAAGGCATTGGAAAGTGAAGCAAGGGTGATGAACAAGGAGATGTCCAACACAGAGATTAGAATTGCAAATCTACAACAGAAGGTGCAGGAAGTACAGAATCAAATGGCCAATGACATGTTCAATAATCAGTTGATAGCTGAGGAGAAAGAATTACTTAATTCAGTTAGAAAAATGGACTGGAATTCAAGAGCAAATATTAAGGCAGAAGTCCAGAGCTACATGGATATCATATAGAAATGCCAACACAAAATATTTCCATGCCCAGCTGAAAGCAAGACAAGCTAGGAACAGGATCTCTTCTATTTGCAATGACCAAGGAATCCTACTCTCAGAGCCATGTTTGGTACAACAACAATTTTTGACAAATTATAAGCAGTTGCTGGGAGATGTAGAGTCAATATTGCCTTGAATTGATACTAGTATTGCCAGAGATGGTCCTTGCCTTTCATTGAGCCAGCAACAGGAATTACTAGAACCAGATACCAGAGAAGACATAATTCAAGCTATCAAAAACCTTCCAAATGATAAAGCCCCTGGTATTGATGGATTCACAGCAGAATTCTTTAAAGCACACTGGGGAACAGTAGGAGAAGATATGATTAAGGCCATATTACAATTCTTTGATAATGGTAAACTGTTGAGGGAGGTCAACTGTACCACAATCACCTTGGTTCCTAAAGTCTCTAACCCTACATATGCTAAAGATTTCAGACCCATAGCATGTTGTAGTACTGTCTATAAGATAGTTGCAAAGGCGTTAACTGTAAAACTAAAGCCTATGGTTGACTACTTGGTGGGGCCATCTCAATCTACATTCATTGAAGGAAGGAATATCCTGGACAATGTGATTATAGCTCATGAGTTAGTGAAGGGTTATGGGAAAAAAGGAGTATCACCTAGATGCCTAGTAAAAGTAGATATCAGAAAGGCATATGATTCTCTGAATTGGGACTTCCTGAATTGGGCAAGTGCTATTGGAATTTGGTCCCTCAGAAGCTGGTCAATTTGATCATGAACTGTGTCTCCACAGTCAGTTATTCATTGTTACTGAATGGTGGTCTAACTCCTATATTTCATGCTAAGAGGGTTGAGACAAGGGGACCCCATGTCCCCATATCTATTTGTCCTAGCTATGGAATATCTAAATAGATCCTTGAAGCAACTTAGAAACAATCCTAACTTCAATTACCACCCCAGGTGTCCAAACAGGGAAATAGTACACATTTGCTTTGCTGATGATCTACTAATGTGCTGCAGGGCAGACAAGGTCTCTATTCTACTCATGATGCAAGCATTTGATCACTTTTCTAGTGTTTCTGGACTGAGCCAATTTGGAGAAGAGTTCATTCTATGTTGCAGGAGTGACACAAGAGTTTAGAGCTCAGATAATGCAAGATATGCATTTCACTATTGGGGAGATGCCATTCAAATACTTGGGTATCCCATTGTCTTCAAGGAAGCTTTCTATTCACCAATGCCTTCCCTTAGTTGAAAAGATAATTGCTAGAGTTCAATGTTGGACCACTAAGTTCTTATCATACAGTGGTAGAGTACAACTCATCAAAAGTGTACTCTTTTAGATGCAGACATACTGGGCCCAAGTGTTCCTATTGCCTAAGAAGATCTTGACTATGGTGACAAATGTATGCAGGAATTTTATGTGGACTGCGAGTAATGAAAATTCAAGAAGAGTCCTAATAGCCTGGAGTACAGTATGTCTACCTAAAGCAGCAGGAGGATTAAATATATTGGATTTCTTTACCTGGAACAAAGCTGCAATCTGCAAGCTACTGTGGGCAGTGGGTAAAAAGAAGGACAAACTTTGGGTGCAATGGATCCATAGCATATACATAAAGGACAGGGAGCTGAACAGCATGCCAACTCCAAGTCAAGCCAGCTGGTTAGTTAGGAAGATATTTGATGCAAGGAAATGGATGACTCAATCTGGTAATTTTATGGACTACCTTGAAGCATTCGAAGATAGAGAGAAGTTCAGTATCAAGAAGGCCTATCAATCTTTTACACCTCCATTTCCACAAGTCTCATGGAAAAGCTTGGTCCTAGTGAAAAGAATAATTCCCAGGCATCAGTTTATTCTATGGCTGACAGTTCATAAGAAGTTATCATCAGTGGACAGGCTCCAGAAATGGGGAATTCAGGTGATGCAGGACTGTCCTATGTAACACAAATGCAGTGGAGACATTGGAGCACCTCTTCTTTTGCTGTGACTATTCAAAGTCCATATGGAGCTCGTTGCTACACTGGCTAGGGGAGAGGAGACCAATCAGAGGATGGGATGAGGAGGTCATATGGGCATCCAAGAGAACTAATAACTCTAGAGCAAGAGCATGCATCATTGGCTTCTTATTTGCAGCAAGTATCTATCACATATGGGCTGAGAGGAATGCAAGAAGATTCAGAAACCAAAGACGAGAAAGCAGGCAGCTGATCAAAGAAATTATACTTCAACTACATATCTATGGTCAGAAGAATGGCAAATGGCAACAGCAACTGAATGGCCTGAATAGTTACCCAATATAGGTTCGTAAGTATTGGATCTGTTATCACTAGATAGTGTCAGTAGTTATAGTAGTTAGCTGGATAAGGAACAATTAGATTAGTTACAGAGATTATTGAGATATGACTCATGAGTCCAATGAGTCATTTGTACATATTAATTTACTTGGTTAAATAAATATTTTAAGTTAAACCAAAAAAAAAAGAATATAAGGTGAAGTCAGTTCAACAGACACAATAATGAGACACTAGTCCAGCAAGACATCACAGTAGAGGTGCTCAGAACAGTATACCCTGAAGGTGGAGGTGAGGAACCTAGTGTATCGAGGGGCTTCTTCTGTCCAATGGAAGGCTTTTTCACAGGAGTCTTTCCATTGTTTCCTGGCCCAAGTAGAGATGTCACAGAAGTTGTCCGAGAACTCAACTGATGCAGCAAAAAGTGAAAGAATAAAAGCAACAGTGAGAAGCATGGAGATAACAAAGTGCATCTAGTCGACAACATCAAATTAATACCAGCAAGACAAAACATGAAAAATTCAGAAATGAGCTCAGAAACGTGCAATCAAAAATATTGCAAGTGAGAAATAAGATATGATGACGACCAAAGTGACTGCAAGGAACAGATCTCATGTTGCCAATCATCTGGCAGATATAACTTTTCACATTCACTTTGACCCTCAGTGGTGAGGGCATTGTGAAAAAATATCGATACTTTCTACTTTAAACTTTCCTATATTTCCGTTTAGCTGCCATGGGCTTTCTTTCATAACCCAGAAAAGAGAAAAATATTCCAAGATACTAAAGGGACCTGAAGTGGATACAAGGTTGCAATAAGAGGAAATACTGATACAATCTATTCTATCTTTTCCTATCTGAAAACTTGGAAAGCGGTTCTTCTATAAAATATACAGAACTCTCACATAGACTAGACAAGCTATGTCTAGAAATATATGTATGTATATATAAGAAGCATGTAAATATACTTCTAAAATCTGTAGTATATCCTCACTTGAAAACTCAATAAATCAAGTCAGGATGCAAACCAAGAATATTACCAATGTGCTAGTATCCATTTGAGATGACATGAAAGACGAGGCTGAATTAGAAGGTTTCATGCTAGTGGTTGTTGATAAACCAATTCTGGAGGTCTGTTCAATAGACTCATCCTTTGAACTTTCTGAAGTGGAATTTCCTTGCTCCACTTGAACAGAGGAGAAGGGCGACAACTGGGATCTTTGCAGCTGGTCATGGAAATGATCAATTGGTTCAGACTTTAGATTGGTCACTGGTGATGAAAGAATACTTTTCTGCTCTTTATTGGCAGACTGTTGCCATTGAACTGAAGGCTGCTGGATTCTAGAAGTACTTGGAATATTAAGACTCCCACCAGGTAATCTTTTGGCTTCGCCAAAAGTGTTTTGCTTTTCAAACTTAGGAGCGCTCATCATTCCCATGGCCTGCGTTGGCACTCCTAACTGAGTTGCATTTCTGTTCTGTTGAGCTGAAAATTGTCTCATTTGTGCATCATCAGATTGCTGTTTAAGCGGTTGTGTTGTAGAAGAGTGGACATTAGATGCAGAATATGCACTATAATTGTTCCCTGCATTTGGAAATGTGGGAAATGATGCTTGTGAGAAGTGCAAATGCTGTTGTTGTTGCCTATTAAGTCCCTGTATTGGGAATGGTGAGTGGTCCCTTTCTTGTTTTACAGCAATCAAACTAGAAGAAGGCATCTGGTTTCCTTGGGCTCCACGCAAATCTGCCTGATTTTCCACCTCGCGCAACTTTTGAGCATTACTCTCAATTGCCATATTACTAGAATCTGTCCATATTCGCATAGGAGCAGCAGAAGAGAAGTAAGGTCAGCAATAAGCTGGAACCTGATTAGAATGAACCAAAGAGATTCAAAGAACAAAGGTACCATCTGTTGGCATTTGCGAATATTGCTGCTGTGAAGCCGGAGACTGAGGAAATTGACCGGGAACAGTTGGTGAGTTTCTAGATGCCTGAATTAAATTTTGGCATAGAGTTAATACACAAAGATTGCGAAATTTCAATTTTTTATGTAACAACTGAAAAAATGCTGCTTCATCTACCTGAGATTGAAATTTATATACAGCCATTTTGAGCATTTGATCACCAATTATACTTCTCATGTGTCTTACAAAACCTTCCTTAGAAATTTCATTTTTCTGAACACATATTCCATTTGTTAGCAAAACTACTATAACAGAAAAGGCAAAATGATGCAAAAACAAGTCAGCTATAGCAAACTACTTTCAGTTTAACGTAAAGAGTCTGGAGTTGCATTGCCCTATCCTTATCAAGCTGGGGTTGTATGTGAGGGAAAAGCATGGCAAAGGGCACTTGTTTTCCCTGTTTAGCCACATTGATTGCTGCTTGGCTACTTGACCCAGTTGCCGATTCTGACTGATTACTTGCCTCTGCTGCCACAAGGGGCAGACCACTAGTTCCTGTTGTCAAGGACTGAAAGGATTTTTGATTATTCCCTCCCTGTAAGTTTAGATGTTGAGATTCTGGATTTTGAGCATTCTTTTCAGGATTCTGTGTATTCACTGCTTTAGAAGAATGAAGTGTGTCCTTTTCAACCTCTGTGGTTTGATAAGTATCCTGGGAAGATATATGCTGCAAAGGAAGGGAACTGATCTCCTGTGAGGAATCATTTTTTTGCTGCTGATTCTGAGAATCGGTATCATGTCGCTGTAACTGCATATCAGACATATTTCCCTCCTTTTGCTGAACGGTCTCTGAATCTTGAAGACTATGACGACTGGCATTTTCGTCATGGTTAGAAGTTTGCCATGATGCAAACTGATTTGAGGTGTAACTGCTTCCTTGAGATAACGGTACTGTTTGTTAAAGTTATGCAAAAGATAAGATTTTTTTCCAAGGAAGGAGAAAGCGAACACTACTGAAAACACGAGAAGTAAAGCAAATGATAATGGTACAGTAGCTTTTCAAGACAATATTCCAACCACAATCACAAAATTGTTACACACCAACACTCTTTAAGCTCAGAAATTCTCATGCAAATCTGAAATATCTATTCTGCTGATATTATGAAACATAGATGAATTTACCAAACTAGAAGAATAACTCTTCTCTTTGTTAAATCAAGGGAAGGATAGACTTAGTCAAAAGGGTCCCTCCACCTACAACAATGAGGTTAAGGGTTCGACTCTCCAAGGGAGCAAAGCAGGGATCAATTTTGACTAGTATTGGCAGTGGCGGAGCCAGGAGTTTATAAAAAAGGATTCAACGGTAGCAATTATTGAACCCCTTTGTTACTTCAATAGAATTTTTTTCTTATGTCTATGGGATTCAACAGCTTATATATAACCTAAAAAGATCCAATTATTTTACCTTTCCACAGTATAATCTTTCAATGAAGTGTACAATCCAATGAATCCATATTAAAAATTTGACAAAAATTAATTGATTAGAATAAAACAGTGAGTAAGATCCAAAAAAGCTGATGATCTTACCGCTATCAGAATCGGACGGCTGAGATTGTGAATTATCTGCGCCTCCGATATCCCTATTTAGGGCAGCAGTGAATGCTTCCACATCCGCCCCCGAATGCATTGTTTCATCCTATTACATATCATTAATCCACCATTTCAAACACAAATAAATATACATATATATACTGCAAAATTTCTTTATTAAAGGAAAAAAGGGCTAAATTGGAAAAAAGGAAAAAGAGGTTACCTCGTCTTCTTCAAGGAGTTTCATGATAGAAGGATCCATTGAGGCCGAAATTAGAATATGGTTGTTTCAGTAATAATAAGAATTTCTGAATTCGGCTAGGCTGGCAATAAATTATTGTATGTTACAGCAGCAACTGATGCGTTTCGAGAAAAGTGGGGAGATCTCTTAATTGCTGAGATGCTGGGCTTGAATGTGCGACTTGGTTTTATGAAAGATAACGCAGAAACAGTGGCTAGATTTTCCTGAGTCTGGAAAATAGTTTGATTTACTCGGAGAAATTGACGTTTATCTTTGTTTCGAGCAGGATGTTCTAACGGATACGCGAGGAACAAAGTGAAACGGTTCTGCCTTTATTTATTGAGTATTGTGGTGCTATTTATAGAGGAGGGTTTCTTTATTTTTCTTCTCCTTTTTTTTTTGTTGACCTTTTCAGTATTTCTTTTTCCTTCAAGAAAAAGAAGTATTATTTTATGTTTGTGAAAATTGATAAAGAAAATGTAAAACAAAACAAACAAAAAAAATCAACCCAAATTTCTACTGAAAGGAATGGAGAAAATTCGAGGAAAGTGGATAATTGAGGATATCATATGAATAAGTATAAATTGTACTCCTCGATTGCAAATTTATCTCAAGCAAATTGTTTTTTCCGAAAATAACTTTTTACTCAAAAACTTTAAATAATACGTAAGACTTGAAAGAAGGAGGGCTTTAGGTAATATTTGAAATTACAGAATAGTTATGTCTTGTGAATCCAAACCTTAAAGGAAACTTTTATGTAATTTTCTTTAAATTTAATGTTAAACTAAAATTACACCTCACGTCTCACATTGCTGATAACCTGTAAATGATAGTAATAAAAAGACCTGACAATTTGCTTTATATAAGCTCCCCTAATAGCATGTTCATTGTCTTCTTTTGCACGAGCGGATGCAAATAACCAACCAAGAATACAATTACGATTATAAATTAATTGAAGTGTGATGATTAATCTTCTAAAAATATTTGAAGCACTTTATTATAAATGTGAATAGCATAAACAGACAAGTTTAAATGAAATTTGTGCGAAAAACAATGCTTTAATATGGTACTTCTTGAGCTAAATGCGGTTGAAAAAGTTTGTTTTGGACCCTTTATATCCTATTCACATTTGAAATATATCTTGTCCACAATTATTAGAATATTTGATTGGTCTTTAATTGTTACTGTCATCATAAATCTGACGAGGAACTAAGCTGAGCTAATTTTATCACAAAACAAGATTATAAGTGAGTCGATGGAATTAAAAGGGATGAAAAATAATTAATTAAGAAAGTGATTACTCCAAAAAAGTTGTAACGACTTCTGAATATTAAACTTTTATAACACATCAAAAGCACGTCAATGATAAAATTGAATATGAGAATTACAATTGTGCTTTTAATGGGACAAAATTGAAGAATTTATTATAAGAAAAATCAAATTATGGTGTATGTCTACTCTTCCTCCATGATCTTCTCAAATGCTTAATGACATATCCAATGACATATTTCTATGTTTAATGACATATTTTTCTTCACTTTTCATGCTTATATAAAGGCCTTGTAATAGATAGGAAAATACACACAATTGAAGAAGAAATAAGAATCTCTCCTATCTTTCTCTCTATATCTCTTAGCTTATTTTTTCTTGTTCTATATTGTTACTTTGAGCTATATTTCATAACACGTTATCAGCACGAAATCTCTAACCTCAAGGTTAAATTCCACTTCTGTGTTACAGGCACGTCTTTATGCTATAGCAACAAGTCCGAGCTTTAAACTAGATAAGTTTATGCCAATATTTGGAATAGGCAATTGTCTGGTTATTAGAAAATTAGTATTTATGTGGTTGCTAAGGATGCCACCTTGTTAAATTTTCGTGAACTAAATAATAGGTGGCATGCGGTATACTAAATAATCTACAAAATTAAAATTATACTTTATTATGTATGCGTATGGTTTTACCTTATAATACAATTTTAGTATGCCTAGTATAATGATTATACATTAGTTTACTGTCAAATATAATATAATAATAATACGACTATTCGTAACTATTTTATTTTAATAAGATAAAATATTAGTACAAGAAGTATGTACTGCACCAAATTTTTCATTGATGATAGTTTTTATCAAATTAACATGTTGAATTATTTCTATATGGAAAGCATATAGTAGTAGATAGTAGACAAAGATTTATCCCCTATTGTTTTTTATTTCTTGATTAACCTAAAGGTTCTGATATATCTCTTTATTTTTCTAGAGAGTACAATAATTAGTTTTCACAAAAGTGCATGGTAACTAGTAGTACTATATTATTCTATTTTATATATCATTTTTCTTTAATGTTCTTGTCATATCACTTTCATCTTGAAGTAAGCTTATTGCAGCAAAGACTATATATGAATTTTTAATATTATTTTGTATTTTCATATATATATTTGACACTAATTACTTAGTTGATTTGAGTAAACGATAGTCTATTGTTGAGAATTATATCCAAATGACATTATGAAGAGTTTAACTCAAGAGGTAAGCATTTTCTTCGTATTTGAAATTGTTTTTGTCCTTTGCTATTAATGATATCAACTTCAGTGAGTTCAAGTCACAATGCACCATGAGGGTAAGACATCAGGATCAAGTCCTGATGCTCCATGATGATAAGAGTTGGGTTTGAGTCCCAATTCATTATGACCTAACATGCCTTTATATTGGTAAGACATTGGGTTTGAGTCCCACTATACCATATTGATGATATAATGATAACTAAAGAAAAATAATATATTTTTCATGAAAAGGCATGAATATTGTCCCACTTGATTTCCTCCATTCTTGAAGTGAATGTGATAGCGGAGCATAATAAGTCTAAATGAAGACAAGTAGTTGAACAATGAACGTGGACGTTCCAAAGATCAAAACAATAATATTCATCACTATGATTATAAAATGAGAACAATAAGGGTTCTCAAAATAGTTCTTCAAAATGTTAAGGCAATGTTTACCATCAAATTGGTATGAAAAATAATAAAGCACGCCGCTGATTATGATCCATTCCTTGAAGAGAATGTGACTTATAATAAGCATTGAGAATGCAAACTCATTCCTAAAGGTGAATGTGACAATATGTGATAAAAGTAATGAATAAAGACATGCAATGCATGATTAGATGAATGCCACACAACTCACCTCTAAGGGAGGTTTGAGTGAAATAAAGAGAATAAATATTATTGTGTGGTTACATGAATATGTCATTGGTCGTGTATATGTGATACGCCAAAAAAACAAATATTTTGTTGTGCCTTATAAAAGGTTATTAAAGCAAGAAATGATTTTGCTTATGATGATTTTGACCATGACAATTTATTATGATATAATTTTCTCCGTAAATGAGACATTTACCATATAAATGGTGTGACAAAAGATCTTGTAGTACAAAAGTTATTAAGAGCTCCGGAAAAATTAATTTGTTACTACCCGGATGAATAAAATTATTCACGACATTGATATTGTAAAGTCTCAAAAAAAACTTTTTGAGTTTTAAATGTATAAGTCAAAGTGGTTGGCATATTGATACTATAAATATAAATAAAAGGAATATTGAATATCTTCATATTTCTATAATCATAACGGGTAAATATGAAAGGTTACCCGATTTTTTTTCTATTTGTACTACACAAATATAAGCATGATGATGGAATCATATGTCACAAGGAAACTAGAGGTTTACTGAAACAAATATTAGTTAGTATGACCGGTTGACCATGTTGATTCAATTATGATGCGAAAAATTAATTGAGAATTACATTGGCATATATTGAAGAAATAAAAGATTCTTCAAGAATTCTCTTGTGCTGCTTATTCTCATGATATACCAGTTAAGGTTGAGATTGAATCCCTTGATTTCTGGAATAAATAAAAGGTGATAAATATATGGGCTCAGTCACCTGCCATGTGGATCATTTACTATTATATGATTTTAATAGATGCATCTATTCTATGGTCACATGTGCATTTGTTATCAACTTGCAGTTTGGCTTTTGTAAGATTGATTGCTCAAATTATTAGAGCACAGTTTCAGAATATAAATTATGATGATTTATCTTGATAATACTGGTTTAAATCCAAGTTGGTTTAGCAAAAATTATATGTCTCCAATTATATCTAAACCATTGGTTATGAGAATAAAACTGCCAAAATAAAATTTGGTATGTGATGTATTATTTAATATACAACAATACTTGTACGCATTTAGCCAAGTTATGATAAGTTCTCCCTATCACAATCGGTTAAGGGTCAAGAACCAAATAATTTCTATCTAAAAATATGAATGTGCTATATGATTTAATTATTCCACCACAATGCACAAATATGGATCCCTAAATAAGGCTAGGGATATGTGTTGGTGATCCCAATAATAGGGGGAGAAAATGGGCAACTGAAAAAGTAATGGATGTAATGAATTATTATGAGTACATCTAGATCTCCGTACGAGAAAATGTGAACTTGAAGTTCAAGTGATAATTCATTTGCAAAATATTGCTAGATGTATTTGCTGACCCAAAGCTAAATGTCATATTCAGCTGCTAATGCTCCAAATAAAATAAAGTTCATAATGAATAGAGTCTATGACATGCATAAAGCATAATAGACTAATCAGTTCCAAATATAAAATTCCTTGAAGAAGGAGGAGAGCAAATGTTCAAGATGGTCATAATAAGGAGACAAATGCTCTAGAAAAGCACCACGACATAACACTTCATAAAACCTCATGGGAGAGGCTCAAGCACCTGAAAATAATGAGATAAAGAGATCTCAATAAGTTATGTCTTTATTAGGTAATAATAGAGCCGATATAAAATGATCGTCGACAATATTGTTAATATAATGTAGCGCTCAATATTATTAATATTGACGAGGATCTTGAGCTCGAATCTGTCATGAAAGTTGGACAGATAAATGATTGGCCAAATGAAAAATACGCAATGAAAATTGATTTCACCTGAAAAATATGAAGTTGGACGGATAGTCCCAACACGTGAAAGTATAAAGCTAGTTGAGGTATAAATGTGTTCTTGTGCGAAAAGAAAAAAAGGTTAAGTCGATAGACATAAAGACGACTTGAGTCACAAGAAGATTTGTAAATATCCTGGCATTGATTATATAGAGACATGTTCTCCTGTGGTGGATGTCGTCATTTCAAGTTTTAATTTGGCAATACAAGAAAAATGTGATATGCGTATAATGGAAATCATTGAAGGATTTAAATTGTTTTGAAGCATATTAAAGTTTTCAAAAAATTTATTAAATAAATCTTCAAAAATCCTTATA